ACTGAGATCACCTTATTGAAAGACAAATATCTCGTAACACAGCCTAATGGCCAAAAGTGTCAAAGGAACATAAGTCACATGGTAATATAAACAATTTAAGTGAGACTCATACATAATGAAGACATCAAAGAAGATAAGTGATTCTGATTAAAAATAATCAAGGGAACATTTAATAATGGTGCAGAAAAAAAATATATCAAACATGGCAAATCCTAGCTGGTAGGGCATAAAACCTGATGCTTGTGTAAAAAGTCACATGGAAGGTGGGAAAGTGAGAATTGTTGTTAAGTGATGCATGCTCTGCAATGTGTAAAGGACTGAAATTCTGAGCCACGTTTTTTTGACAGTACATGTTCAAACTCAATAAAGAAAGGCTTTTGGTATTTTACCTGATTTTAAATCATTCTTATTTGATAAATAATATTATTTTTTTGTACTGTTATAAGCCTGTCAAGATAGTTTTTATTTAAACATGCTTATTAGAGGTTTGTTGTTTAAACTATGTCAGACTTAAATTCAAACAGAAAACTTATTTTGAACAAGTTAAAATTACTTCAAAATCACAAACTACAAAACTGATATTCCAACATTTTGGTTATACAACCAGGAACTTGTATTGTTTCCCAAAATTAAAATTTTTACAGAAGTTTTAATGGTTTTCTCTAAACTTTTAATATCAAAATGATATTACAGGGTTCCACACAATAATTCTTCACAAATCTTGCATTACTTCATTATATTCTCCATCAAATGTGTATTTCAGTTGAATTACAAGTAATAATGTGTAATTTCCTGCTGAAGAGATAATTACTTGAAGCCGTGTACTTCACTATATAAAAAGTACAAGAAATTGATATTATGATACGTGTACTTACTCCTGAAATTTTTTCCTTGCTGGTAGGGTAACTGAATTGACCTTGAAGTAACTGTCTACGAAAGCATTTCTGGACATTTGCTCCTCCGTCTGATGCTCTTCGTCCAAAACCACCAACTAAGAAAAAATTATCCTTTATTTAAATATTTCATTTGTTTTCTTATCTTAATGTTGAGTATATATGATTTTATTTGAGGAAACTAAAAACTCTTTTCACACAAAAAGAGAAATTGTTCAAATTAGTTAGTTTTACTAACCAATTCAGTTTAAAAGGTAAACATATAATCAATTTCATAAATCTTTACAACTTTTTACTCAATAATTAAATAATTAATGTGTTCTCATGCAAAAGATTTAATTAAAATATTAAACATGAAATACCTAACAAATATTATATAAAGTGGTTAAAAAACTTCATAAATTAGAAAAATGTAGGGATGGATTACTGATGCCCCAATCTTATAGAGGAAAATGTTAAAACTTTCAGCAGCTTTTCACAGAAAACTTCGAGGGCTTGGCATCATTCAAATTCTTTTTAAATTTAAGGAATTCGGTAATGTTCATACAGGAAATATTACACACCAATCATATCCCATATATTTTACATGTACAAAGTTTCGTGTATAGAAAAGTGACATTTTGGATACGTCTGGAGAAACCACATTATTTGTCTCTAAATAAGAAAAATTTGCATAACATCTGTATTACCATGTATAAAAAAATACACATCTAGACCTGCATGTCAGATGCCAATGATAGCATACACAATGTTGAAATTAGAACAAATGTGCCAGAAGATTCCAAAATATGCCCATAGTCAAAGGGTTCACAGGAATCAAAATAATATCAAAATCAATCACATTATTCCAAATCTGTCCAATATATATGGATAACTTATGAAATACACATCATTAAGGAAATTGTGGAAATTTAACAAACATTAAGCTGAATTCTATTTTATTTCTTAATAGAATGTTAATCTTGACTCAATTTGATTTGTCAAAGCATATTCTTGACAATTCAGCCCCCATATTCGATGACGAGGAACCCACTTTGAGACTAATAATGCTTGGAGACGTCTTGAATGGGTAATGAAGAAAAACTTATATTAAAGTTTTTCTTCATTAATAATTCAAGCCATCTCCAAGCATTATTAGCCTCCATATATAGCACAGCCTTCATGAATATTCATATCATGTTAATTATCCACATGTTTTCTCTTGCCAGAACATGTGCAATGATGAACAAATGGAAGACAGTCAACAGTCCTAAAAGCAAATATATTAGTTTTCTACTGAATTGGGTAAATTAGCAAGCATCTGTTTATTACCATTTAAATGAAACTGTATTTATTAGTTTCAAGCTACTCTCTCAGAGTTAAGTTGCTATATCGCATGTTGTGACTGATATCTTTGCACCATTGGAACCACACTTGTACACAAACATTTGTTTACATCAAATAAATCTATTACCTCCCTAGCCTTCTCTCAGAGAATAATTATCAGTAAGGAGTACTGGAGCTTATTTGAAATAAAGTTTGAGTAAAAGTGTTATATGTAAGATGTATAAAGTTATTTGTTACATTATATTTGTAGCAGAAAATAGTTTCAAAGATTTTGTGCAACAAGGTTAGGGCCTTTAAAATAACTTCTCTCAAACTTTATAGTAAACACGAATTTTAAGTGAATTTATGTTCAACTATAAATCAAATGCTGAAAATATGTTCAAGATTCCTTATGTATTTGATGTATGTCTGTGCTTTCTAGACAATGTTCTCTATGATTTTTGAGTCCTGGTTCTCACTGGTTTGGTAGTAAAAAAGTAATTATCATGAGTTATGAAATTGGTTTAACTGTGAATTTTCTCTTCTATGCTTTGGTAAAACTTGTTCAGCTTGGTGTTTATTAAAAAACTTGTATCATAAAGTCCATACCAGTTCAGCTTGGTGCTTATTAAAAAATTTAATTGTTGTTTTAGATGCCATACTTAACATGTAAACAGGGGCAAGCAAGTAAAAGGTTGGTTATTTACAAGTTCACAAACTATTCAAACTTAAGACATCACATGTATTATTAAAGAAGGCAAGTAAATTGGAGATAGCTAGACATTCTGGTTTTGACAAATTGTCCTGTGACATCAGCAAGTTGTTCCATGTATATTGTTTCTTGTTGGGAGTGGTTCACAATGATTCAGGAAATGTATGGGTTAATGTTTTTGTAAGTGAGAACTTCTCATTAGTTGAAACTTTATACACATATGTAAGTACTACATAACATTCCAGAGGACTGGAAGTTAATCATTTAGCTAAGTATTATTTACTTGAACAGGAAATACAGGAAGCCAAAGTTTCTGTAAAAATGAAGTTTTTGTAACATAAGTTAGTCATCCCTTTAATTTTAGATGTTTAACATCTGAAATTGAGTAAAGAAAATAATTTTTAATATATAATATAGGTTTTTAAATCATAAACATTAATGATATACATAAATTAGTAATATATCTATAAAAACATTTAGGGAAATTGATATGACAAAGAACTTAAATATTTCATTTTATGGATGTAGAGTCTCACCTGCACCCAGTACTAGTGGTGGTTTCAACAGATGCTGGTCTTTGATTGTGAAATACTGTGGTGGCTGATGTTGAACCAGTGGTAAGTTCTGAGGCAGGTTTGTATTGGGAAGAGCACTAAGAGGTAAGATTGGTGGAGGTTGCAGGGTAATAACAGGTTGAAAATTTCTACTCATTTGGCTAGCTGTCATATCTCCTGTTGCTACACTTGGTACTTGTTCATGTTGTGGATCTCCAGGGCCTACAGTATGGCGACGAATGATTTGATAGCGGGATAAAATTTCAGGCGATGGCTCTTCTCCATCTGATTCAAGTTCTACATCTCCAAACTGTTGGAGTAGAACAAATACATTTATTCAATGATTTACATGAAACAAGCTAATGTTCATTAAAGAAAGGTAAAACAATATTAGGTACAATATTTGTAACTTTTTGGTAAATTTCTGAAAGAAAAAGAAGGATTTCCTCTAAGGAGACCAAATGGATATATGTGTATTCCATTTATTTGACTACATACAAAAAAAATGTAGGAATGATAACACATACAATCCAAAATGTTTTGAGATATTTCACATTTAACACAAGTGCTATTACTGTTTACACTATATCTATAAAAAATCTTAACCTATCATTATTTAATATTACTCACCCTCAAAAAATGGTTTTTGTAAAACAAAAGTTGTTTATTTGTTAATGCTTTAGGCTCCTGTTTTTTTTACCAAGTGAAGTTTCTTGAGTTAATGAGTGAAATTTGTTATAATAGTAACTTGCTAAAACCTGTTTCAAATAATTTAATAATTTTACCTTTTCTAAATTTTGGTTCTCTGAAAGAAGCTGCCAAAGAGGAACAATGCTAGCAGACAACATTGGACTACAAGTTGTTTTTCTTTCTCCCTCAATTCCTGCATCAGATGCAAGGGGATTTTTCTCAACTGTAAAAAAATTGTGATTGTAGTAATATAACCATACAAATATTTTATGCAGCAATTAAAAATGGTAAGTAAATGAATAAACGAAATTATTCACAAAATGAAAGTAATAAAACCAACAACTGGTAATATACATGCACTCACAATTTGCACAATCTTCTTCCTTACAATGTGTTATTAAGGGGTTTGTTTTTATTACTTTTGCATTACAAATTAATGTAATCAAACAGTATGCTTATTTATACACACAAGATAAACAAATTCTTTAAAGAATTATACAGGACCAACATTATTGTACCATACAATTTCTTACCAACTCCTGTGGTAATACTGGTCATTCTTTGTGGATGTGTTGTGACGGGCAAATTATGAGACAACAGTGTTGTCCTTTGGTGACCCTTCAGTTTGTCCAGTAACAGATGATAAATTGCACTACAATGGTCAAAATACTTTCCTTCGACAGACTAGAACAACAAATTGATAAGTAAGATTACAATATTTTAATATTTATGTGAAAATAAGATCCATATTTAACTTAAGAGGGTAATTTAAAAAACAGTTATTAAAAAATCATAATCTACAATTTTTAACATGCCTAGAAGTTAACATTTTCCTAACCTGAAAAATGTATTTCTGATAGATATTCCCCTCCTCACACATAATAGCTTGATCCCTTATGCATCTGCCTATGAGATTTGCATGTTACTATCCTTGAGCTAACTCCCACCTAAAAATCATGAACTGCACTAGTGCATGATGACATCATCATGTGATGATTGCCCACCATCAATAGGAAGGTTACACAATCTCATTGTGCAGTAACTCCCACCTAAGCAATTACACTTGAAAGAACTTCATTCTTAGAAGAGGCAAGAAGAAAATGCACCAGAAGTTGAGAGGATGGGTTGGAAGGTATGCAGAGGTGAGTAACTATTAATGCATTTTCAGGTAACTTCTGAGACTATCTGCTGGAATCCTATAAAAGGGAAGAGGGGTGATTGACGAATAGTGACCAGAAGGAATTGAAATCTTGCAATAGATGAAACAGTCAGATGGTGAAGATAATGAAAGTGTGCAGCTTCATCCACATGGCAGCCTGAAAGATCTTATCCAAGGGTCAGCAAAAATGAGAGACAAAAGAGTGTGACAGGTGACAAATTTTATGCAGTGAAATGTGAAAAAAACCTGTAGGCCTCAATATCCAGGAAAGAAAACACCAACTGGACCCATCACTAGATGAAGAGGGGTTTCAAATCAGAAACAAACAATGACAAGAACCCTGAAAAGAGACATTTGTGCCAAATAACACTGCATAGCTCAAACCAGACACATAAGACTATCCAGGTTCAAAAGAGCATAGAGATGAGAGATAGGAGGGAGGGAGATTGGAGAGAAAGAATAATAACCTTCCAGAGTAGCCAAAGTCTTGGGAAGAAAAGCCTGGTCTGGGTAGAGGAGTAAGTATGGTGAAGAGAGTGCAGAATGACAGTGATCACAGACAAGAAGGACACATGTCTTCAGGAAAAGATGGTATAAAGAACAAGAAGCCAATTGCTCGAACGAGGCATACATGAGAGTGTGTACAACCCCATTAAGGTGCTAATCAAGCATGGGAGTTAGATGAGGGGTGGGTGAATAAGGAAGGATCAGAACAAATGGAGAGGATAGAGGAATAAAGCACCTGGTGGTAATGGAAAAGACAAAATGTAGTGCACAAAGCAGCCTAATAACCAGTTATGGTAGAGACAGACAATCCTGGTCAAACAACCATGTGAAGAAGGCCAAAAGTTGTGTTCAGAGGAATAGAGTGGTGGATGGATCAACATTGAAAAATGCACCACTTCTGTTGATAGAAAAAGTTGAAAGATGACAGGAATGGGATAACAAGAAGACTATACAATTGGAGAGTCCAGCCCTGTGGGCAATAGACCAGACAATTTCCATGTGAACATGAAGGTACGACATTAATGGGAGAAAAAGTCATGTGAGGTGGGAGAAAGAGAGAGGAGGAATAGGGCAGAGAAAGAGGAGGCCGGGACACTAGATTACGAAGTAGACGAAACAAAGGTTGTGCAGGCCATAGAGGTGCCACCAACAGCATCTAACATGGAGTGCTTCATATAAAGGCAATGACACAAGGGAAGAGACAAAGAGGAGGATAGTCATACAGAAAAAAGTGAGACCAGTTCTGACTGTAAGCACTGATTGCAGGATGAGGAACTGGGGACCAGAAGAGTGGAAGTTTGGTGTCGAGAGGAGTGGCAAAGGCATTGATAAGAGGCATACCCAACTGAATGCAAACCTAACAAAAAAAACCTGAGGGTGAAAAGCCCACATTGTGGGTAGAATGTAGTCTTACTGAGAGAGAAGATTTGCCACCAGGTTCAGAGCCTCCAGCACATGACAAGCTATGAGATGTACTTGATCGGAATTAGCCCAAAATAGCAGGTCCAATGCATGAAAGTAAAGAGTCATAGACTGGGTACACCCTTAATGGTTGATATAAGAAATAACTGTGGAATTTCCAGAGTGGATCAAAACCAACTGATTCGTGGGAAGAGGGAGGAAATGGGAACATGCCCATTGAACTGGCGTGTAAATCTCATAGGCAGATGCAGGAGAGATCAAGCTATTCTGTTGAAAAGGTGAGGCAACATCTCAAAAAACATAGTTCTTTCTGTAACCAGAAGTGCAAGGTATAAAAGTACGGCTTTAATTACAGTAAGCACATACAATTTCACTTGTTTTATCGTTATGCATCTATAGTAATTCTTGCCTTTTGTCATTAACCTATGAGTAGGCTAATCAATATACAAAACTAGATTACACATAAACAGATAAAATAATGTGTCATTTTTGTTTGCATCTTATACTAGTAAAATCGAATAGATAGGCAATGTAGTGTGCCCAAAACATTATATAACTATGGTAAATGTAAGAGCATAAAAGTTCTTTTTTCTTTTGCTCAGATTGAACTGCACATTGGAGATCTATCTATCATCAAAATGACCAATGTCTTGTGAGTTTAATACATAAGAGCCTGTTTTGGATATTACAATAATCACAAAATGCTGCCAATTCTAACACCATCACCATGAAAATATTTCTTTATAATAATTGTATTACAGAAATAAGTGCTTATCTTGACAGTGAAGGGTCTGTTCACAATTATTAACATTTTTACGAGCATATGAATTATACACTGGGATAGGGGGTGATGACACTCATATGCTTTATAATAAAATGAAAAATAAATTTAACATGCTTTCATCTTGCTATGGACTTTATGGCCCTAGCCCAAATCTTATGCTAATGTGCCAATCTTGATATATGTACATTCATGTGGAATTTTTATGTTCAATGCTACACCAATTGTGCAAACTGTTTTTATATAAGAGAAATGGGGATGGTTTTCCAAAATATGCTTTGAAGAGAAGCAATTACTATAGTATACCAATACAATAACATGGCTGCAGAAAAAATAATAAAAGTACAGGATATGTATAACTAGCTATTCAATTAATTTACAATTTCTAAGTAACATTACAATCATGTAAACCCCCTTTTTGTAGAGATTAACATATTAAACATAACATATGGCTAGATAAAACATTAAAGCTGTGTGCAAAGTTGAGAAAATTATAATATTTTTGAAGAGAAAGCCTCTAGTATCAAAAAATGAACTCCAAGTGCCAGTGCACTTTTAATTCCTTTGAACTCAAACATTCTGGAAGTCTATTTTATATAGAGGAAGGAAGAAAATTTATAAGAAAAGTAATTTTTGAACAGTTGTTGTAATTATGATAATTGTTAATCACAATGCATACAATTGAGTATAGTGCTAGGAGACAATCCCCCAGAAAGCACACCAACAAGTGCTGAATGCTCATGTGGAGGCCAATTGCTAGGGACCTTCTGGCTGTATACTGGTGTTAGTTTTTTTCCAGTCTGGACCAGGCAACTGAGTAATTTTAATACCATGAGTATACCTTCAGTGGTCTTACAGAACACTTTATCTCAACAGTGGGCACTAGTAGAGCCAAAATGGATAGGTTGAGCTCTTTCCATTACCTGCAGCTTGGTGCAGATTTTGGGAAATAATCATACCCTAGGAGGCAACTTCAGCTACTTGGTGGGATTCTATAAAAGGGAAAAGGGTGATGAAAATAAAATATATTTATCCCTATTAAAAGTTATTATTTAATGTAATTGAACAACAGTGACCGGAGGGAGTCAACATCTCACAGGATATGAAAAACAATCAGATGATGAAGGTAATAGGAGATGAAAGTGGGTAAATTCATCCACATGCCAGCCTGAAGGATCTTGTCCAAAGGTTAGTGAAAATGATCATCTTCCTAAGCAGAGAAAGTCTTAGGAAGAGAGGCCCAGTCTGGAAAGAGGAGTAAGAAAGTATGATGAAAGAGAGTGCAGGAAGCCTTGATCGCATACACATTCAAACAACAGTACCCATAAGTGAGAAGAAGAAAACACCTTCAGATAAAAAAGGTAGAAAGAAAATGAAGCCACCAACTCAAAGATAGCATGTAAAACCATGTCAAAGTCACAGTTAGGCATAAAACTAAGATGGGGGTGGGGGTTGGTGAAAAAAAGAAGGAACGGAACAAAGTGGAAAGGATGGAAGAAGAAAAACTGGGCACCAATGGGAAAGGAGAAATGTGGTTAATAAAGCTTCCCAAGAACCATCAATAGTGGAAACTGGCATTCCATAGTTGAACAACCATGTGAAAAAGGCTGAAAGTGGGCCACAAGGAAGGAAAAGGCTGATGGCCCAATGTAAAAAAACCTTTCACTTCTGTTGATAGATGGACAAAGTTGAAGAACAACAGCAATTGGATAAGAAAAAGGCTACATGAATGGAGAGTCCAGCCCTAAAAACAATGGACCAGACAAATCTCACATGTGAAGATGAAGGAATAAAAACCCTGGGCAAAAGAGAGATGTGGCTGGAACAAGAGAATGGAAATAGGGCAGAGGAAGAGAGGGGCTGGATACAGATGGATGAAGCAGAGAAAATCAGGGTTGTGCCAGCTAAAGAGGCATGATCAAAAGGACCCAACAAGGAATGTTGTGTCAAAGTGAGGTCACAAGAGAAAAGAGGAATAGGAAGATAGGCACATAGAAAAATACAAGACCAGTCCTGCCTCAGAGCATTGACTACAAGGGCCCAAGGATAAGGAACTGGGAAGCTCAAGAGGAGAAGTTTGATGTTAAGAGTAGCAAAGGCATTGATCAGAGACATGCCCAACTGAGAGCAAACCCAATGAAAACCTGAGGATGGAGAGACCACTACATGGTTAGAACTCTGTCTGGCCAAGAAACAAACTGCCACCAAATTCTAAGACCCTAGCACATGACAAGCCAGGAGATGAACCCAATGGGAATAAACCTTAAATAGCAGGTCTAATGTGTGGAAGCAAGAGTTTTGGAATGGATACCACTTGATGGTAGGTATATGTAAGAAATGACTGTGGATTGTCTGAGTGGATCATGACTAATTGATCCACAAGAAGAGGGAGGAAATGAAAAAATGCCAGTTGGATGGCAAGAACTTCAAGGATATTGGCATGCATTGAATGCTCCTCCACAGCACATATGTGCAAAGTCATATTGTCCTTCAGAGAATCCCCAGTCCAACAGAAAAGCATCTGTGAAGATATGAAGATCTTGTCAAGGGCAGCAAGGAAAAGCCCACTGTGGTGTTGTCACAGTCAAGCCATCAAGAAAAATCCTTAAGTAGAGGAAAAGGAAGGGCACAACTGAGACAATAGATCCTGAGAAAAGTTCCATTGGTCCTGCAATTTTGACTGGAAAAGGCACATGTGTGTGCAACATAAATTAATAAGTGGTTCAAGAGAAGCCAGAGTTCCAAAAAAAGCAAAAGCTTGTGCACAGGGTGTAAAAAGAGAAACACAAACCATAGTGACAAGACATTCCATTACTTGTAAGCAACATAGTGAAAGCTGAGTTGACACATCCAGATATACCAAATATGGGGCAGGCATGAGAAAAGACTTGAAAGACTTTACAATCTAGCCCAGTCAAGCAGCCTCCTGCAGAAGAATGCAGGTGTAATAGATGTAGTCCTCTCAAGAAGGGGCAAGGAGAAGCCAATCATTTATGTAATAATGGAACCTTAGCTCCCACAACATGTTGAACAATGACTGTCATGTCTTCCTATACAGACAACAATCCCCCAGCAACCATATTAAACACAGATCCCATGTTAGGAACATCAACATTATCACGTGAAGAAGTGGAAGTTACCAACATTGAGAATTTTTAATGGGTCAGCAGAAAACCAGTTAAACTTAAATGAAATTTACCTTATGTAAACTATCACAAATCTCATGTAATTAAGTAATAAGTTTAAAAACAAATCTATTCCAAACTGTGCAAGTGTTCATTGGGGGTTACTGTGCAAGGAGGTTGTGTCGCCCTCCTATAGATGAAGGACTATCATTACATGATGATCTCACTAGTACAGTTCACGTTAAACACATGATTTTTAGGTGGTAGTTAGCTCAAGGCTAGTGGCATGCAAGTCATATAGGCAAATGTATAAAAGACCATGCTATTTTGTGTGTAGAAGTGAGGTATCATCTTGGAACCATCACAATTAATTTTTCACTATGATTCAATACCCTTATTCGGTATAGGCTTAGTTTGAATTGAAAGTGGGCCTAATGAGCATTAAGTCTTTTTCTGACCATTATGGGAAAATTACAATCTATAGTCTTTCATAAGGCCTTGTAGACCACTAGACAAGAATTATCTCCATTTTTGTCCCTCCTTACCTTTCATCTTTAATGTAAAAAAAAAATTGAAGATTGACCTCTTAAATCCTTTACATGTATTAAAAAGTTCCAAATTTTAATCTAGAAACTCATAAAGCTGCCATTACTACAATGTAAACTATATTGATGAAACTCCTACACATCATTCCATTCACCTGTTGTTAGTAGGTTTTTCTGGCTTTGGAGAACTGTACCTCTCATGAGTAACACTGGGCAAGGGCAAATTGAAAGAATAAGACTAGGCCTCTTTATGGTGGTGGAATATATATGTTTTTGTCTGTCTTTCACTCAACACAGTGAAACTATATTTATACACAATATGCCCTTTCTAGATGATGGGTAGAATTCCTTGAAACCAGTATAACTCAGTGACAAGTGGTGAATTGAACAACAGTTTGTACTTCAAATATATTTTTAGTAATCAGATGTTTCTAACTTATACCACAATAAACTTTAAATGATGCTTAAGATTAAGGTAGATACAAAACAAGACAAGCCATTTTTAAAACCATCTTTAGTCTAACCTGAATAATTTGTTCCTGTGTTACACCAGGCAGATTAAGCATATGTTCAACTATTAATTCATTCACTGATTCTTCCTTTTCATTAAATGACACCTTATTGTACTTTTCAAACATCTCTTCAAATTCCAAATCTGTTCCAGACTGTACAATCCACTTATCTTGCAGTATCTGATCAACACTCAACCGCTTCTCAGGATCAACAACAAGCATATGTCTTATAAGATGTTCACATTCTGGAGTAAAGAAAAAAAAAAAAAGTTTCCTTCTGTCAGAGGTACATAGCTACTACATAAGTCTTACTGATGAGGTTCCACGACAAACTAATTTATTTTAGTATTTACATTACTAAGAATTTTTTACCAGTATCCTATTTTCTATAATTTTAAAACAGGAGCAGTTATTAGATAAAAAAATTATATAAATAAAGAAGAGAACAAAATCATATCATCAAACACTATCAGTATGATTTAAAAGACTATGACATAAATACTCTCACTAGTAGAAAATTCAATATCACCATAAATTAATTTTTTGTAAGGTCTACCTATACTTGCTGACATTAAATTAAATGTACTCGAAAATTATCAAAATTATGAATTCAACTACGGGAAACATATTTCTATATTAAAATAAGCGTCAAAAAACTGAGTAAATATTGCAATATGAGTATTCCTGTCAATAAAGAAAAATCTATATTTTAACATAACAATTTGATATATAACTTTTGTTATCATTTGGATATTAAAACCTATTTTACGTTAGCATATTCTTTATGTGAAAAGGTATTTCCAATAGATACCTCCACATACAGAATAGCTTGATCTCTTGTGCATCTGTCTATGAGATTTGCATGCCACTAGCCTTGGGCTAATTCCCACCTAAAAATTATGCATTTAACGTGAGTTGAGCTAGTTCATGATGACATCATGTGACAATAGACTGCCATCAACAGGAGGGTAACACAACCTCTTTGTGCAATAACTCTCCCAAAGCACTTGTGCTCAAAATAATTTCATTGTTAGGTGAGGCAAGAGGAAAGTGCACTGGAAGTTGAGAGGATAAGTAGGAAGGTGTGAAGAGGTTAGTATTTATTTGAAATACATTTTCAAGTAAAGAAAATGTTAACTTCCGAGATGATACCTCACACTTACATACAAAATAGCTAGAATCCCACAATGAAATTGTAGAGGGGCCAGTGCACACACTAAACCTAGAGGAACTTGAAGAAAGGAGGAGAATTTGCATTGGGGAGACCAGAAGTACCCATATCCCCCATAAAATATTTTCTGGAAAAGTCTTTTACTTGTGACAGTGCATTGGGTGATGACCATGAAATTCTACTTTTAAAAGCCAGCAAGCAAAAGCCAAAGATATGAGCAGTCACTTTCCTGGTGTTGGCTTTTTCCATGATAATCCATGGAATAGTACTGTCTAGATCATGTAATTCAGTAATTTTAATACCACAAAGATGCCTCTAGTGGTCTTGCAGAACACCCCATCTCACCAGTGAGCACTATAGCCAAGGAAGATGAGTTGAGCACTTTCCACTACCTCTGGCTCAATGTAGATTTTGGTAAATAAGCATATGCAACAGCAGCCACCTAGTGGGATCCTATAAAAGGGAGAAAGGGTGATGAAAAAGAAAATGTATATACCCTACTCAAAGACAGTACGTAGTGTTATTAAAGAACAATAACTGGAGGGAGTTTAAATCCCATAGAAGGTGAAATAGCAATACACAATGAAGAAAATGGGTGACAAACGTGTGGATTCATCCATATGCCAGCCTAAAATATCTTGTCCATGATACAATAAAAAGAGACACAAGAGAGTGAGACAGTTGAAAAGTCTGATGCAACAAAATGTGAAACAAAAATCACCCTCCCCTGCAGCCGAAGTTTTAGGAAAAAAAGGCCCAGTCTGTATAGAGGAATAAGTAAGTATAATGAAAAGTGTACAGGATGCATTGATGGCATATTCATCTGAACAATGGAGACTACAGGTGAGAATGAGAAGAAAATGTCTTCACAGAAAAAAGGTATAAGGAAGATGAAACCAATGGCTTGAACATAGCTTGTTTAAGAGCATGTAAAACCACGTCAAAGCCACACTGAGATTTGGGAATGAGGGCATTGGTAAAGGAAGGAAGGGAACAGAGTGGAGAAGACAGAAGAAGAAGACCCAACAGTAATGGAAGAGGTGAATGTAGTGGATAAATCTGGCTGAAAATTAAATATAGTGGGAATTGACAACTCATGAACAAACAACCATGTGAAGGAGGTCAAAAAGTGGCCCACTGTAAGATGGCCTAGAGGAAAAGAGAAGCTGATGGACCAACGTCAAAAAACCACTTCTGTTGATAGATGGACAGAGTTGAAAGACAACAGGAGTGGAATAAGAAAAAGGCTACACTATAGGAAAGTCCGGTCCTGCAGGCAATGGACTGGACAAATACCACATGTGAAGAAGAAGGAACACACCCCTGGGTGAGAAAGAGACATAACTGGAGCAAGATAGAGAAAGTGGGAATGGTTTAAAGGAGGAGAGGGCCTTGGCATTAATTGATGAAGCAGAAAAAATCAGGATTTTGCAGGCAGAAGAGATGCCACCAACAGGACTCAGTAAGGAGTGTTACCTGTCAAAGTGATTACACAGAGGAGAAGAGAAATAGGAGTTATTGATAAGCATATAGAAAAAAGTAACACCAGTTCTGGCTGAGAGCCAAAGGATGAGAACTGGTGTTTGGTGTTTAGAAGAGTGGTGAATGCATTGATGAGATGCATGTCCAACTGAGAGCAAACCTAACAAAAAAACTAAGAATGAAGAGACAACTCCGTGGTTAGAACCCTTGTGTGTTTGAGAGAGGCACCAAGTTCATAGCCCTTAGCACATGACAAACCATAAGATGAACCCAATAGGAATAAGCCCAAAATATCAGGTCTAATGCATGGAAGCAAAGACCTGAAATGGGTACCCTCCAAAGGTTTAAATAAGAAATGACTGTGGAATTGTTGGAGTGGACCCATAACGAATTAATCCATGAGAAGAGGGAGAAAATGGAAAAATGCCTGATGGATGGCCACAAGTTCAAGAACATTGATGTAGAGTGAATGCTCCTCCAAAACCCACATGCCCTAAGTCATGTTGCTGTTCATAGATGCCCCCAGTCTGACAGAGAAGCACCTATGAAGATAAGGAGATCCTGTCAGGGGGCAGCAAAGGGATGCCCACAATAGCGTTGGAATGGTCAAGTCACCAAGACAAATCCTCAAAAAGAAGAGAAGTAAGGTGCACAACTGAGGATAACAAATCTCTAGAAAGGTTCCATTAGTTCCATAATTTTCACTGAAGAAGCACATGTGTGTGAGGCCTAAATGAATGAATGGTTCAAGGGAAGCCAGAGTTCCCAAAAGCAAAAGAACTTTCAATGCAGGGTGTAAATGTGAAGCACAAACCTTTGTTACAAAACATTAGACTGCTCACAAGAAAAGTGGTGAAGACTGATCCTGACTGTGATAGGAGTTCAGAACATGACCAGATGTACCAAATATACGACAGGCATGAGAAAAGATTTGGAAGGCTTGACAAGCTAGTCTAACAAGCAGCCTTCTGCAGAAGAATACAAGTGTGAGTGGAGGAGTCCTCTTAAGAAGCAGTAAGCAGAAATCAATCATCCGTGTAATAATGAAACCTCAGTCCCAATACATGAACAAGGTGTGCAAATGCCCCCATGACTTGATTGAAGAGATATGAAGCAGATGCAATGCCAAAAGGAAGAGCATGGTAGTAGATGACTTAATCCGATGGACATAACAAAGAAAACGTCTGGAGGATGAGGCAATCTGAATGCCTAAATGATTCTCCAAAATTTTGCTTATTTATCCACAGTTTGGGTGAAAAGAACACCAGAGAGAAAAGAAGCCCTCCATAGAGAACCACGAAATGGCAAGAAACTGGTCGAGAGATGACAGGTCAATAATTAGATGCCAGTTCCCAATATTCTTGGGGACCACAAAAAGATGAGAGGAATATTCAGGCAGGTGTAGGGGTAAGCACCTTCTCAATGAGATCACATCTTTCAGACCCTGAATAAGGGATGGAGGAAGGAAAAAATAAAATGGAAAAGGGAAGGAGGTGAAAAAGTGGAGAGATAGGCTGTGGATGAGAACCCGAATAACCCAACTATAGGACGAAAATGAACACCACAGGCTGGTAAAGAGATACAGATGGGCTTCCATAGAGCTAGACCTGACAGAGTAGTCTCCTTCAAGAGGAGGGTCAAGCCTGACATTGAGAAGTGGGAAGACAGGATGTAGAAGAAGGCCTGGAAGCTGGGAAGGAAAGGGGAAACATGAGAATGTTGAAGTACAGAAAAACAAAAACATAGCAAACAATGCAGACTGATCCCTAGTCACCTCAGTCTAAGTCTTCAGTGAATCAGGAACACCCCTGACAACCTCCGGGTAAAGAACATGGAGAGAAGCAGGAGGGAGGTGCACAATCGTTAGGAGAGCATCCCCTCCCAACAAATCCCAACAGCAGAGGAACCAAGTAAGGAGGGATAGAGCACAAGAAGTAGAATGGACCAATGAGGTGAAAAGAAAAGAACAAACTTCCGCAGAAAACCCCTTCTGAGCATGATGAAGTGCCTCAGATATAAAGTGGTAATGCAGAAGGGTGGTAAGAAATAGACAAAGGCACAAAAATTGGGATATAGAAAGGGAAGTAGAAGTTAAGGGGTCCACCCACCCACACACCCCAAATTGATAAGAGAGATTCTAAAAACTAGGATCAAGGAACAAAAATTAAGAATAAGAATTAAAAAATGGATAAGTCAGGACAAAATAGTCAAGTAAACGAGAAGGATGATACATGGTAGTACAACTGTGCTGTTGTTCAAGAAATGAGTCTGCATGAATCCTAATGTCAGATGAAAGAGGAAAGACAAAGTATTCTTGAACATACATTTCATATAGTAAAGCATAAGGGAGGAAGCTAAAAGACAAAGGAGTAAAAGAAAGAAAGTAACATACCTGTGAAGTAATGTAAAGGAAGAGATTAGAATGGGAAGAATTTCCTCCACAGATACAGATATACATAGAGCAAACCCTGTGGGGGAAATAGCTATTCAAATATTCTTCATCCTTGTTAAAAATGGGGAGAAGGAACATCAGCTGAATGGATGGGATGAGAAAGCCCAGTGTGTGGGAAGAAATCCACAACATTTGAAGAA